CCCGAGTGTCGGCATGTCAGTGCAAATTTGTCTCAATCGTGTTTTTGTTTTCTTCCTTTTAGATCTTCAAAAACTGAGTTGTCCGGCCGTAGACTCAATGGCGCCTCATGAAGTAGGCTTGTTTGTCAATCACTTTCAATACTTGAATAATGAAGATGTCTTTTCCTTTACGACTAAGCGTGTATTTTCCTTAGCTTCAGGGCTGTTTGAAACCCGAGGAACTGGCAACTTCGCTGAACTTGGCATCTATTCTGGTCGAAATCCTCAGTCGATATGCAGGTAAGAGAAAGTCGTCCACAGTGTTTACCTACTGTTTTCAGTTATTCAGACATTACTCTGACTACAGTTAAAGCACACACCAACAAGAGAACTAAATGACAAGTGATGTCATACTGACTCGAAGAGTATAGGTTTTACGTTCATCGGTGTTCAAACTCTTGTTTTGTCCTGCTTGAATGTCTTGTCAACGCGCAGTTTATGTCATTTCATCGCGCTATAATTGGAAAGACCGGATGGAAACAAGGACATACCCTTCATCGCGTATTTTCTCTCTGTTCAAATTCCAGTACCATTAAAAGGCCATAATTACAGCGTCTATCAACAAGTCAGGATAAATGTTGTTTTGATCGTCGAAGGCCTGCTGTTCTTTATTCAGCCACATTCAAATAGCCTCGAGTGAGAGTTCGAAACCTCGGGCAAATACAATACTGGTCCCAGAGAACGTTCTTCCGCATTCTATTCAAGTAGCTGTAAAGCCGGTTATCTTATAAAGAAAGCATAAATGTAAACAGGGTCAAATTGTTTGTTTACCAAAACAGTTTGTTTATGCAGATCCTTACTCTTCATCTAGTTGGAGGTGCCTCGAGATACTGGCAGACAATTTAAAAGCGACGGCTAAAATGGCATTCGAGTTCATTGATCCTCGTTAAATGGATGTGAACAATATAATTTATTGGGCGATAGGCTTACTCCGTTTCTTGTATATCAAATTTAATTCCGCATGGTCGCTGTTGTGGTTTGGTGGCATATCTGTTTGCACTTTCAGTTTCCTCCCTGCAAAACCGGTTAAATTGCTTCTTAATTTAGCAAATGGGCCGGTCTATTTACACTCATTCTCATTTAGAATGCTAGAGCATTAGTGACCGCATGTTTTAACTTTCCCATGTAGATCTACTGGCCCTATGTGAATTTATCGGAAGCTTACGTACACTGGCCAACTGCTTTTCTGAAGAAAATTTTCTTTTTGCTTTCTACTGAAACAGTATCCTGTATCCTGGCCTACTTTTAGTCTCTGTTATATGATCATGTGTGCACTAAAGATTGAGCATACAACATATTTTTCAAACAGTGGGCAACATTCCCGTTCCGTGGATAAATTTGGCTTTTTAAGCGGTTACATCGCACTACCGTATCCTGCTATATGCTTTTAAGTTGAAGGAGTCGCTTAATAATGAACCCTTTCGCGGTGACATGTTGTGGAGTATTTGCATATGCCTGAAACTTGTGTTAAAACAAAGGGGGTCGTCTGTAGACTTATTACTATCTTCCGGGGGCATTAAATTGCACAGTTTGACATATCGGGATTTAACATGTGGGCAATTTTGGCCAAGCAAGTCGCCGCTTGGGGAGCGGACAGGCCACCGCCTCATCCTATACCAGTACCGGAGAACCAGATGACCGGGCAATCATCACGCCTGAATCCACCACGCGTGATGAAAGGTCAGCAGGACAGAGCCCGCATGCCGTTCAACAGACCACCAACACTCATGAAGGCAATTACGGTTAATTGTCGTCGTATATTTGCAGTCATTACTGTATCCTATAAATACTGCAA